TGTATTTTGTCACTATTTGAGGATAACTCAATATAGCTTGTTTCACAAACTCTTCCATGAAAACACTCAAATGTCATTTAACAAACTAGACTAATATAGCACCTTATAACTATTTAACAAACTGGTCTAAGATAACATTTGAGAAAAATATAACAAACTAGAATAAGATGATATATTAAGACTACTTTTAATTCACTCCAATAGACTGCACACTGTAAATAAGAGTTGCCGTGTGGGTGTGAGCTTTGGAAATTGTGTACAAAGAAATATTTATGCAAGATAAATCTTACCCAAAGATACGCACATGCACGATATTGGGCCTTTCTTTAAACTCTTCAGCAATTATTTTTTTGTGACAAGAAATATGCTCAGTAGCTGCAAGGGGTATTTGCCTCCTTGCGACAGCGCGGATCTGATGCCGACTTTATAGTGATATCTCACTGAAATACCATGCTGAAATACCCAGCACAGCACTCCGTCCGGTCTCATTATACTGACAACAAATGAACCAGTTGTTGTCATTCCTCTTAATGCTGAACGTTAAGCAGGGAATAACAACTACCATTTTTAAGGACTTTGGTATTGTCGGTCTGGAGGGAAAAATTATTGCCTTCATCACCTTGGCGAACGTTCAACAATAAAGCCACAAGTAAGGTGTTGCCAAGCAAGGCGCTAGAAAATAAAAGTGTAGTTAGAAGTAGATAAAAAGATTAAGATCCCAAATATTGCGATGGGTTCAACAGATTTATTTTGATCGTTTTTGTGTCCTAAATAGAGGGCACAATTGCGAATCCCCAAATCTGCAGGGGGTTCACACATTAGTTGCCTCTTACAATACATGCAGTGGGTCACAGCAGGTCTATTCTTTTCTCTATCCCCGATCTACAGAAGCACAACTCTTGTCACGTATATTTAATGCGGTTGAATTCAAGGAAGAGAGATAACTCTACCGAGATCAGTGATGCAGATTAATATCTTCATCCTGTTGTCTTGTTTTCAGCCTACATACAATGTAGCAAGATTTTCACCGTCACATTATGAAATTAATCAAATTAATGGCTACACTTAATCTAAATAATTCATGCAAACTAGATTGAAGGAAAAACACGTTGACAATGATTAATTGGGCAGATCATTTTTCTCGATTTGCATTTGTCCTTGAATCAGATTTCAATGAGGTATAAAAATTAAAGTTAATGAAGATGTCAACAGCTATTTTGAACTATAGAATTATGTATATTGTTGATAGCATCAGCTCCACATCGCAACCTATTGTGAAAGGTGTTCCACAGGGATCCATACTCTGCACCATTTTATTATCTATTTTTTATATTAATTGCGTTCTGTTGATGCAGAACACGCCAGCGTTGAAATATAAACAGACAGTTGAAATTTTCATAGTCTGCTTGAGGTAAATGGTACCACTGCATCAGTTATAATCGTGAACAGCAGCAACCGAGGGGAGTGCCTTTTTTTTTGGGGGGGGGGGGGGGTTCTTTCTATTTCTATGCTCAAAAATTCAAATTTCTAACAACTGTAATTCGGTAAAATTCATAGCAAAATGTGATTTTTATGGAAATTTTCTTTTGAAAAGGATTTGAACAAATATTTCACACTAATGCAAATGGTCCTTAACACTCAGCATATAAAATTGAACATACCTGCACCACCTGTATCTGCGTCATGTTTACAAATATATATTTTACGAATATGATGCTGTTTCACGCTGACCTGCATAAAATTCATTAAAATACCACTTTTTCATTTTTCTGACCATTACTGCATATATTTTTTATCCAGGTGTTATTTTTCATAATGCGATTTCATTTGAAAACCCATGGTAATCTACGTTTATGTTTATGGCATTTCAATTAAAACATCATAATGCTCTCTGCAAATCTGCAAAATGCGATTCTTTTCATTTGACGGTTTGCTCAACTTTGTCTCGGTTAATATCGCTTTCTCAGGTTCATATAACCACATATTCACCTCAACAACAGTCCATAATTGATATTATTGGGATTATGGACTGTTGTTGAGGTGATTATAATGTTATATGAACATGAGATATTGATATTGACCGAGTCCATAATAGATAAAATATTTCGGGTTGGGGAGGAGGNACCCTCCGCCAAACGGTCGCGGGTTCGAAACCTACCTTGGGCAGTCGCCAGGTCCTGGCCGTAGGTCGGTGGTTTTTCTCCGGGAACCCCGTTTTGTACATACAAACAATCAAACAAAATAAAATGTTGGTGCAAATACCATGATGATACAATGCCAGATATTTTACAGGTTTGTGACTCGCTTTGGCGCGATATTTGTTTCAGGTAATTGGTGAGATACATACACCGATCGATATCTCCGTCATTAGCAAGGATCGATACTTGTAGACAATTCATCATCCGTATACCATGGCTGGGTGACAAAACATCATGTCACCTCCACGGGGTCATATTCCTTGTAAAATGAATGGTATCTCAAGAAGTGTTCCGAAAGTCATTTAACAGAAGACAGACCTTTTGCCAACTTGCAAATGTTGCTAGACGTTCGTGCTAAACCCGATAATTTAACAAGTATAGATCATAATGCAGTGTTATTAAACTAGTCATTACTTTAGTTTGAAGGAGATATGGGGATTTCCCAACCCTAAAAAAAATGTAATCCTCAAACTCCGATCTTGGGAAACACGAGTTCCCTCTAACTAGGGGACGAAAGTAATTTAACCTTCTAGACATTTTCCGGTTTTCTATATGAGGTACGGCCCTGCATCCAGCTTCTGTAGAGCGCTGTGTTATATTGATCGAGAAAGGTTCCGGATTGAAGTCGACAAACAGGTCTTGTATCATAAACTACCATGTGTCATGCCGTTGTCATTATTCCTCGTTTTAAGTATGATAAATTGAAAATTTATTTATAGAGATGGAAATTTCTTGTCGCGATTTTGAAGCCAAATTACCAACAAATATTTATTATTTGCTAGTTTGGTTTTATAAGTCTCGCGAGATTCAATTTTGTTGCGTAATTCTTAAAATCTTACGATAAAAATTCTTAGCGTAAACATTGAGCTAAGAGTCGCTTTTAACGTTGTATTTAGAAATAGCGCCGTTATATTGATTTACATTTAATCTTTTTCTTTCTTTGTCATGATAAACGAATGATTGTTCTTGTCTTAGGAAGTCAATACCTACTTCATTTTTATTTTCACATGTCAGCAAAAAAAAGAAAAATTGAAATAACATTTTAGTATAACTGATCAGTGCTTTTTCAGATATTTTTAAAATGGGTCTGTCAATTTAAACACATTTGAGTGAAATTAGATTTCAAATTAGAATGAGAAGCAGGCTAAAACATAACCTCTGCAACAGTTGATAAAGAATTCTTGAGATGTGTCTGTAATTTTGATAAGCTAACTTCATTCAGTAGAATAAACTGAGTTGCCAAATCTCACCAGCACGTTTTCATATGCCCATCAAAATAGCACTGAGCTGTAAATCGTCTAGACCACTACTGCAATAAAAATCGACAAAGTCCATCAGACAAAAACCGAATTACGACTCCGATAACTCTCTGGTGCTCTCACAAATTGGCGATTTTCGAACAGCTATCTTCAGAAAATTCCATAGGGAAATGAGTCGCAGGTAATTGTCACATTTGGGAATATGCAAAACGAACTAATGCCATGTCGCGCGTGCATGTGTCACGTGATGGGTATGCGTAATGAACTTTATCCCCTTAAGGTTTCAATACGGGACCGTCGTTTTATGTGGATTTTTTTCCCTTTGTATAAATAGTCAGAATCAGTGCTAATATTCTTTGAGTGAGCTTGATATGCAATACTCAGTTTCCTGGTTTCCTATTTTGTCGGCTAATCTTAAATATATTGTTCTTTAATCGTCACGCATGCGTCGTTAAAAGTTAGTTGATTTGCCGCTCCTTATCAATGGTACCTATTTGAAGATTGCCTCCAACGAATATATACTTCATTTGGAAAAGTGATTATAGATGTTTGTGGAAATTAGGCCCATGCAGGTTTGGTGACCTGGGATCAAATTTATTGGCCTGCTACATTCCACTTCATGATCATCAAGACACTACTGGAGTCGACCCTTCAGCAGAATCACGTTGCTAGGGTTGGGTGATTAGTGATTAGATTAGTATAATTAATCCTTCTTGTCTATCAAATAAACATTCAATTAGTTTTTTGCAAATATTTCAGTGAAGTTTCACTTTAAATGACCCGTTTAGTTGCTTTTGTTTCCATTATTAAATTTTGATATGACATGGAATATTAGATTAGTCTTGTTTTCCGACAGCCCTATTGTTACGAAGTATATGTGACACACCATTCGGGTTAGGCTCTATATATGGTCTACTAGGCACGGGTATTTTGTTCAACATGAGAGGGCGAAAAGTAGTTAGATGAAAGCACGAACTACGGTTACTGTTTTGTTATTGGAAAAAATACCAAGGGCGTTTTCTTTGAAATGTTGTGAACTGACCGTCGATAATCGGCAGAAACCCACTGCCGACAAGAAAATGTTCTTATTCCTAAACATCTGTGAATATTTGTACAACAAAATAATAACATTCGTAAGTCAGTCGCAGCTAGCAGCATGTTGGTACTTTTTTGTTTTGGTTTCGTTTGTTTTTTGTTGGAAAGATCCGAATAATCGTCTATAGAATGTAAAGAGAGAAAACAAATCTGGCGGAGAAACTTTAAACAAACACATATTTTTTTTAAAAAGTCATAATATTTTTATTCACATTTCTTGCATATAAATTACAAAATATATCACAATTATATCTTACAGCTACGCAATGCATATTTAAGTTGAATACTTTAAGAAATATATTATATTTGATTTCAAATGACACCGACTTGATTGGAGCTTTGTCCCTTTCGAACCAAACAGGATACAGTTTTCTCTCAATAGTACATGTAAGACCCTTATATAAAATAACACATTTTATATAAAAAAAATGATAAAATTGGCAACGAATAAAGGTATAAAAAAAAACAATTTAAATTCCAATCTCATGATCTTTATGCATAACATGAATTTGGCCTATTAAGAGGACACTTATTTGAGGAAAATCGTTCAGACACTTGCTACAATAATGAACTACCATTTTGTATCACGTGACATGGTTTCTGGGCAACTATTTCACCGAGTTTTCAATGTCTGATTTTTCATTCAGATGATTCTGTTATAATTAACATAGTTTTAGATACAATAGATACAAATTCTACTAATCTAAATCACCACCGAACTATAAACGGGAATTGATAAATTTGTCCCAGAGCATTTAAGTGTTATTATTAATTTCCAGGCACAAATTGACGAGTATGATACACGAATATATTGTCGCATTGAAAATAAGGAGATACCTGTCCCATTTTATCTTTGTGATGTACGAACATTTCGTGTCATTGCTCAATATCCTCTCTATCAAGTATACTGTACATCCGGTCGCTCTCCTAATGAGGTAATGCGGCTTCCGTCGCGGAAGCGAACGAGTCTGCATACCGGATGTCAAAGCACTTCCGGTTAATTGAGTTCACTTGTCTCGTGAAATTGATGAAAATTAGACAAAATAACGTTGTAATTCAGTTGAATGGCAATCAAGGCAGGAAACTGAATTACTCACAAATTGATGGCGTCAGATTCTATTTTGGCATTTGATGGCCCGGTTCTGTATTGCAACACAGACAGAAAATAATACGATAAACACCATTTAGTACAGCGGTATGCTTCCTCGCAGACGTCCACGTCATTAGAAATTCCCTGTAAGAGCACGTATGCTAAAGAGTTAGGGAACACCTGTATAGAATCAATAATGACTTTAAGCCATCATTTAAATCAATGAATGGTAAGCTGCCCTACAATACAGCCATATAACACCCAACTAAATGATCGGTCCGCACTACTGGATTCAATACTTGGTATGAGGAACCTTGTTAATCCGGACATTTTGATTTCCTGATAAATATTTCCAAGATAATGTGTTTTCTATACTAGAATTATTACTAGGAATATCAGAACCTTCCAGATTCTTTAAAACAGTATCTAAAATTATTAGTACTGCATTTGACACACCAAAGTTGTTCGTTAGTTCCTTGATCGATGACGTCACATTTGGTCCTTTTGGTCCAATATCACAGAGATCAGGCGCGAAGTAAGGTTTAAAATTACTTAGATGAGGCCATCTTAATCAACGTCAACAACGTTAACTCCAGAAATCAACAACAAATGAACACATGGTAACCCTGTAAATCCAGCTAACGTCACTTCCGTTCAGTATTGAGTTGTCTTATACCATTTCCGGTATGTCTTGCGCAATTTCCTGCACACTTTGTGTTTAATTCGATATAAAACGACGTTGACGGCGTAATTTCAAATGTCAATTGTGCAAATGAGGCGTATAATACTATGACGTATCTGTTGCACGTGATGACGTGCACGAGAACAGGTTCAGAATAGAATCTTTGATTCTGCTCATACGTTTTCGTTTTTTATTCGGGAGTCCTCTGTCCTTACTATTCATCTCTACGAACGATTGCTGTCCAAAACTGTCATCCTCGATTTCAATTATTTCGTCGATGTCACCATCTAACGGCGTTTTTTCGTGATGGTTGTTGTTAATAATCGCTTCTTCTACGTGGATATCTGGAGCTGGTACTGAAATAATAATATAAAAGATTTTTTTAAATTCTGGAAATTGACACTATTGGTTTTAGTTAAACATATTGTGAATCAAGTCTTAATGACATATTCAACTTAAACGTTCTGACACCTTTTTATAATCCTCGAACAGTTCAAAAACACAACATTAGTCTTCATCAGTTCAGCCGTCCGACCTTAGCATTATAATAGCCTTCTTTAAATATGGCTACACCAACACGGGACTGTAGTCAGTTTTAAATATCTGTAGTATGCCACGTATAGTTTTGTCACTATGAACCACCGCCCGGCATCGCCTGATCGGGTAATTACACAATTTAGTACCTACCTTCTACTACAGATTCTGAGAGATTTTCTTCTTCTCTGTTATCTTGATTTGTTGCCTAAAACAAACAAAGTAGACATATAATCAGCAAATCCTCATATTGCTACAGGACTAAAACAAATATACATGAGATCTCTTTTCAAATATTGGCATTTCATATTTAGGAAATGAATTATTTTCAAGCTTGCATTTTACTCTTTTTTCTATACAGAAATATACGTTTCTGGATTACAGGAGTACAAAGGTTTCAAAACACCATTTAACTTCAAAACATGATAAATAAGTACATACGTTTCGTGATTCTTTTGAGGGACTGTCGTCAGTAAAGCAAATTCCGGTGAGGTTTGACTCATCCTGAATGCTGCTCTCCGCCGTTGCTAGGGGCGCCATCTCCGCGTCATCCGTGGTAACTTTATCGTGGGCCTCTCGGATAATGTCCTGTATGTAAGCACTGAGGTTCTGCTTGCTACCATCAGTGTGCATCAAAGACAGATTTGGGATTTCTACAAGGTCAAAGACAAAGTGTCAGGATTGCAACAAATATGAATATTTCAACACGAAAAAAACAACATTTTGTTTGTATTTTTCGAATGTAAGAGTAAATAAGTGGTGCTTGTGAATGAATAAGATATTATTTCGTTGAATCTTTTAAAATAAAATCATGGACCATCGCCTGGGCATATCCTTGCTTAATTTATTATAGATCAACAATTGTACGCTACCTGCACCTATTGAATTGTCCATCTCCGCCGTTTCTTTAGTAAATGTCTGGTCGCTTTTTACGTCTTCGTCGCATTCCGACATCGGTTCTCCATTTAACTGACATACAGGAATAGGCATAGGTGCTACACTCGTCTTAAATGAATGAATGAATGAATGAATGAATGAATGTTGCGCTTAATGAATGAATTTATAATCAATTAAGTCAATGAAAGAGAATGGAGCACTTATTCAATGTAAGGACAGAATGCCGCACGATGCGTTTGATGAATGAGTTACTTATGTTTGAATGGAATGAATGAATGATGAGCTTAATGAGTGAATAAATGAATGAATGAATGATGCGCTTAATGAATGTATGTACATGCATGTAGAAATGAAATGAAATGAAATGAAATGAATGAATGAATGTCCAATCAATAAATATTGATAACATTGATTTATTAACGATATATGTCGATTGGTTATCAGCAGTTCAATATCAGGTTATGCAAATATAATACATGCAAAGTGTAAAACAAACGAAACGATGAATTGATTGTGTTAGCAATTGTCTTATTATAATTTAAAATCCTATATATATACATAAATCAGTACTACTAAATATATGTATCCAGTCAGATGTGAAACTATTACGGAAATGGAATAAATTAATATATTTTTCACGAAGTGATTTCAACGTCAATTTCAGCAAATACAATGTACATTTTTCTTACCATCGTTTCTGCAGGTGATGTGTTCTGCTCCGTCAGTGGATAATCTTCGACTGAATAATCGTCACCTAAGCCTTCCAGAGCCTCGTCAAGGAAGTTCAGTAGGTCTTGTTCTTGTTTAATTATCTCCACAGAACTTTGAATAATTTGGGCAACAAATCGGGCGACGTTGTGTGCTTGGTCGTGTGCTAGAACTGTGGGCATGCCTGGTGCACTGGAGGAGTCTGTCAAAAACAAGAAAGTGTCTAACCTTTATGGTAAACAACTTACCGCTTCATTGAAATCGATAATCATAAGATAGAGTTAAGCTGTGAAGTAATGAGACAGATCAACTCGAGGGGACAATTTTTAATTACCTGTCATAAACAGACCGCCATATTGGATTTGCATTTATCGACCTCGGGGGCTAATGTAATTAAATATGAAATGTCTGCTCAAGAATAGAATGGCTAATTATGGAATTAAAAATGTGCTCCGAGCGAAATTGATCTCCATCCCATATAAGTATTAAGGTTAACCAATAATTAGCGAGTGCAATGTGTACGTGTGATAATTAATTATTTGTGTTTATAGATAAACACAGGTCATCTTCACCTAATTAATACGTTTTTAATGATTGACAGGTGACATATGAAATTTGTTTCCGATATAACTAAACCATGAATGAAAGTAAATTGATTGGCAGATATAGGTAGGTGTGATGGCCATTCATGTTTTTCACGTATTTATTTTACTACACCCTCTACGGTAGCAAGGCCGAATTTAAGCTCATTCCCTGTATTGACGGCGACTGAACTCAGGATATTTTACAATGTAATATGTGCATTGCAGAGATTAACGCTGTAATTCAACCAAATAGATAAGTATACTTTAAAATATTAACACTAATATATATAATATTTGTAACAACATATTTACACAGTGTTATATATAGACACGATAGGGAGTCACCGCTTTTCTAGTTAGAAAATTGATAAGTTCGTTATTCCGGACAGGTTTTCGTACCTCGGAAACATGTATCGGGAATGGTTAGTGGGTTAGGTACAATGTACATGTATTGTACTGTTTGTCAAGTTGGATATTGCCCATAACAATAATTTATGTACTAGTATATATTGCTTTATTATTGTATTTTCATGAATTACAATATTTTGAGCTATGCAATTCTATAATATACAAAAATTATGTAAAAATACAAGTTTTATGGACTCGTGGTGGTTTTTTAATATGATGTTTAACCACGAAAAAGTTGATTGTAAAGAAAGCATCCGACCGTTATTGTGTCCTAAGTAAATAGCGGTGGAATGGCCGTATATTTCATTGTCACATTAGAAACTGTACTGAATCAGATTATGTCGGAAAGAGAGATTTTAAGCCATTAAAGTCTTGTAGAAAATAGTGCAAAAACTACCTCGATATTTAAGTTGTATAGGACATATTTGTCGGTCAAATAATGTGTGTATTCGTTTTATATAAAACTTCTCTTTAATAGTTAAAACGAATATGCATGATTCAGAATGTTCTTCATACATATATTTCGGTTTCCGCTTATGTCGAGACCTGTTGGCTTTGTGTCACATAAGCAGCAACACAGTTTCACATTGCCTTAATCGAGAAAACCGACAAATAAGCTTTAACACGGGATTATAAATTAAATATTTAATCATCATTACAGGAGAACCAGACCAGGGAAAAGAGGTATTAATTAAAATGTGACCTACAACTTCGATAAACTAATTGAGATCATTGATGTTTACTACTGCCGTTGAGCAATCAATACCTGCTCTCAAGAGAAGATAACTCTGCAATATGCAAAGACAGGAATATTTTGACTGCGCTTTATTGTCGGAATATCGTCGTCTTGTAAGCGAGTTTCTGGATTATAAATCCCCACCGTGGCTTTGAACATGCTATACGTAAATCATATCTTGGGATGTTTTTTGTTCTACAAAATACTGCAGTTGTTACCTTAATAGCTGCATCAAGTAACCATCTTATTCGAATTGACTTTATCCTACTTAACGTAACATTTAAATAATTATGGTAACTGTTAGATACTAAATAAGAATAAAATACGTATAAATTCAATACAATTCAATTCAACTTTATTCTCTTTCACAATACAATGTATAGAGAAACATATTTACAAAAAATAAAGGAAAGACCGCTTCATACATTATGTAACGAGTATCACTATAAAAGACCTTGAGCGAAAACACGTTTGGGGGGAGAAATGGCTATATCCCTGAACGCATATATTTTAAAAACACATATCAGGAAATTTGTTTTCATAGTGATTATAGCCTATTTCGTTAAAGTAAGTATATCTCTTACCCTGTTGGGGTACATGGTATTATATATATATGGAAATCATAGTCTTGCTATCAATGAAAATTTATCAAGCATAATTGTTTTTACAAGGACTGGTTAATAACATTACATGTCTGAAGATAGTAAATAGTGTGATTGTTCTTATAACGTGTCTAATTAGTCATTTTGGCTAGACACATTTTATATTCAAAGGTATATGTATTATGATTTTATGAATACTATGTGTTTGACACGAAAATAAAATATTTGAACTTAACTTGAACTTGAAGTTAGTTTGATTTACCTGTGATTTTTACCTGTGTTTTTCACCTGTACATGCGAAAGAAAATTCAGATTGATATGTTATGATTTTTTTTATATGAAATTAAAATGTATATGTAGACGAACATTTATTATATACGTTTAATGCTCTTATATTTTTTTTTCATTCCGATAACAATAAATTATTTCTATTTGAATTTAATTTCTTTTATCATTTTCTATCAAAATAATTTGTTTAAGTTACTGGTTCAATAGTTATATTGCCAATGAAATATATTAATTTAAAAACTGTTCACTTCTCTGAGATCAGTTTATAAGAAAATAGTGAACTGTTTTAATGGAGCCAAAGCTACAGGTGGTATCAGTCATTCAGTCATTCATTCAGTCATGAATTCATTCATTCAGTCATGAATTCATTCAGTCATGAATTCATTCATTTATTTCATTTATAATTTTACAATGTTAGTTCACATGGGGTAACGTCACACAACTTTGCAAGGTTACTGACATCCAAAATGTAAGTAGCCAAGCCAACAGAACTTTAGGATATATAAAAAGAAACATCAAGGTGAAAGACAAAAAGGTAAAGGCTGCAGCGTACACGGCACTGGCATGGTTCACCCTAAATTAGAATATTCTGCCTGTGTCTGGGACCCATACACCCAAGATCAAAGTAAACAACTAGAAATGGTCCAGCGCAGAGCTGCTAGGTGGGTGTCTGGCTAATTTTCCCCTCTGGACAGTGTAACAGACATGTTAGGGAGTCTGGGTTGGCAGACATTAACACACAGAAGATCCAAAAGCAGACTGTGTTTATTTTGTAAAATAGTCTACCAGACAGTAGCAATCCAAATGCCACCATACGTAGTCCACCCAACGAGACTATCAAGAAATGCCCACCCCCTATCTTTTCGGCAAATCCCTACCAATAAGGACTTTTACAAATACTCTTTCTTCCCCCTAACCATAGTCCAATGGAACGCCCTCCCGTTAGCTAGGAGCTTGCAGCAGTCCATCACTTAAAACCTTCAAGAAGGCAATCAGTGATACTCCCTTTGTTAGGCCATAGACTATGTCAGCGTATTTTTAACTTCACCCTTCCCCGTCCCCTTCACCCCCGTCCCCTGTCATCATAGTTCACCTACCCTAATACACTATTTCTGGCTCTGTATTGGAAAGAGTTCTCCTAAAGGTGGCCAGAGTTGATATGACCAACACCGAATCAGAACTCTTTCCAAATATAGCTCAGTTGGAGTCTATGTTACTATATATTAGGTAAACAATCTTCAAACTATTATTATCCCCCCCCCCCCCTCCTTCACACCCCGACCCAAAGTCCATAATAGATCCGCTATTTTGTACAACAGGAGCTATCAACATCCGTAGAGGTTTCATAAAATATGCCCTTGTATGGGCAGTAGCAGGTCTAAACTTATAGACATTTTTTAGCACCAAATACTCTCTCATCACACTTTTCTTTCTTTCTCTGCCTTATGCATGCACCAGTCCGCACTTTATCATTTCTGTCTCGGACACCACACAATACCTTTTAATATGCACAGACGCGCACGCTGCACATAATACTCGAAAGAGGGTGTTGCAGAATATATAGATAGATAGATAGATAGACTTGCATTCTCTACCGACCGGAAAAGTCAAATAACACATTTGCTACAGAGAAATAGTTTAAAGCATCACTGGAGAATTGGGTATGATTTATAGCCAAGCTCGTGAATCATAGTTTAAAATAAAGTCATGATTTTATAGAAATCTATCAAGAAGTACAATATAAACTGTCCAAACCGACACTACCGGTAAACGTGATTTTGTTCAGATTAGACAGGGTTTCAAACTATTTTTTTATTGTTTCCATTGGCGAATTCAGGATTTCTAAAAGGATGAGGCGAAACAAACGCTTTATTCCTCACCCCAACACACCCATCCTGGAGTTTGAAGAGGAACCGGTGGAGGGGGCACATTAAAAAATGCCCCCAAAGAGTACTTATTTTCGAGGTTGCATAGGACATTGTTGGTAAGACATCAACATTCTCGCATGCTAGCATTCTGTATCATATTTGATTTATCTGTAGATCTATGTAACGAATGTCACGTCACGTGATGACGTGATTTATAACGATGAAAAGTCGATCAAGCGCACTGATTTGACATTTTCTTTTAAATGTCTAGTTTTGATATTTATTGCTGTTTTGCTCATTTGTCCTCTGGCAAAACACGGATGAGAAAAAAATGCAAATCATGATACAATAAAACGACTGCTTATATGACACCATATTAATTACCAATGACGATATGGAAATATTTTAATTCTTTATCTTAATTTAGTTAACAGTCATTTCCTACTGAGAGTGTCACTAATAGCAGCTAAGAACCATCAACAAGTATCCTAACAAAGAAAAGCGATATTCTGTCGAGACATCCCCTCATAAACCGTAGCTTTTTCCCGAGAAATCTATAATTACTGGATGGGTTCTCCTTATGACTGTCCCATACGGAGCACCTCTGCAATTCCAGTTCCGAATGAGTATTCTGACTTATGACTCAGTGGGCCTATCTCAAAATTAAACTGGTACGGTCAAACCTGCTCAAGAGACTATCTCTTCAAAGAGACCACCTCTATCAAGAGACCACCTCTATAAAGAGACCATCTATGTTAAGCGACTACATACAGTGGCGAAGCAAATCATGTTTCGGAGTGTATGCTTACAGGGGTCGAGCGTCCGAGGGGCGCAGCGCCGGATGATGGGGCGGGTATGGGAGGGGGAGAAAAAAAGAATTCTACTAGACCTTAGAAGCAATCTCTCGTATTCTGGGAAATCCTTTTTGTCTGATTATTAACAAGTAAAGCCCGACTTTTTATATGAATAATATTATTTTTTGTACTTCACTAAGTAGTTAACAGTTGTGACAAATTATCGTCTCCTCGATGGTGGTCACGGAATTACACGGGAAGGGTGTTCGCTTTTTAAAGACTTAGAAATAACATTTATTCCGAAACGTGTTTCTGTTTGTTAAATGTAAAACTTATGATTGTTTTCAAGGTTTTTTTTAAAACGAAATATGAACATAATCAGCGCATTTTCATTTTCAAACTATCTACACCTTTTTTATGAACTTAACTCCATTTACAAGGGGGTGTCTCAACAGAACAGTCTATTTTGTTGTTCTGCGATAGTCCTTAACGTTCTACATTAAATTTTAACGTATTAATATATGTGAAAGTTATTTAAATCACCTGTACATTTCGTGGTCTGGAAAGCCACATATATGTGGGTGCATGCTTCTTACTTATCAATCTGTTATTTCCCAGACGTTTGTATAATTAATGTAACTGTATACAAAGAATGTTTTGTATGATTTATCGACTGACTATGTATGTAAGCTTCATACCTGTGGTTATGTAACAACAGAGAACGTCAGAGTGGGGTTAATTAGAGTACTACGTGTGACATTTATTATGCTTTTCTGACTCATAGGCTGATTGTATTATTTCTAATTAAATACGAATAGAGATTGCCGTTGATGCATTCTATTTTGTCTTGTACAGTGACTTCAAATTTTAATCCAGCGAATCTGTAAAATGTTCCCCGACACTGCCACCGGACCGGATATATATCTTTTTGACAATTATCGATTGGCCAACCACACACCAGAAATAATTTGAGCCAGATATTTAGTCTAGTGCCAGATATTTAGTCTTGTGCCGGATTCAGGATTAGACGGGTTGGTTCTGGCGTTTGGAAGGCTCTATGGTGCTGCACTCTACCCCCTGAACCAGAACAATTTTGGACCAATATACACACGCATTAGCCACAACTTTGTCGGCTGACCAGAGAATTTTCGACGGTCAAAATGCACATTTGCATTCTTCGACATTAAAATTCAAAATAGAAAATTCAGGTAGAAGATTCCGTAAAACTGTTGGTAACAACTTCGGATCCGAAATCGTTTGGAGTAGCACTACTCGAAGAGCTAAAACGTCAGCCTCTTGGAAATAGGTCAAAGGTTATTAATTAATATTCGTTCAATGATAAATATACTCAATCTTTCTGTGAAACATTAATATCATGCATTTTAAAAGGCTATTAATCATTAAAAACTTATGTTTTGCCCTATTTTAACAGTGTTCGCCAGAAAAATAAACTACATTTGTCTCATTGTGAGCTTATTAAGAATGCAACTTACCTGATGATGTCGTTCTGCCGTTTGATGCCATTCAGGTGTGTGTCGTTCACACTCTCCTCGTGAACTCCAAACGACACTTGTCACATGCTTACTTCCGTGTCCACGGACCTGCTTCCGGCGTCTACCATTGATAGATCTCAAGATAACGCCGATTATCTGTAAAATGTGTCAAACTCTCTTCCACGATAAGGCGTGTCATTTAACCAGCTACACTGTCTTATCCAATTCTTCAAAGGCCATGCATAGTACGACACTCGTCAGCAATGATGGCTTGCCTGTGCTGTGTGTAAATTAACATTAGGCGCGCGGTTGAGGTTTGTGTGTAAGGTATGTTCCCCCAGGCGATACTTTAGCAAATGGATTTGTTCGAATTCGCCGTGTGGTAAACTTCGTTTATAGTAAGTTAAATAGCGATAAACATTCTATATATATATATACAAGATCTAGATGTATTTAACTAGACGAGGCTAATTACAGGCCCCAAGCTCCGTACCTTATGGTCTTTGCTATTATCCGTCCTTACGAATACTTCGTGTTACACCAAGGTTATCCACTTTCTCCTAGTTTATTTCTTAAAGTAAATACACAACATGTTCCAATATTTCGGACCAGACTCAGACCGGGTCGGCCACGTATGACTAATCTGGGCCTCAGCTGTAGTAAATGTCGGTACCTTTACATACAACTAAATACTTTCCCCTATTAAACCTTAAAAATAAATTTAAAAAGGTTGAGTGGAGTATCCTCAATGGTGAAAATTAAAAGCATGATGAATACCCCCCCCCCCCCCCCCCCCCCCTCGTATTTTATTACACAGGATACTGTTTAGCGTTTAAACAGTGATTATAATTTAAAAAGGTATAGGGCAGGTACGTACATGTAAACATATTCATGTAAGTTAATTGAAAACGGAATCTTTTCTACCGTACGGAGACAAGCAGGCGTGAAAACACGATATTTAGCAAACATTAAAACGACCTAGGCGCTAAATAATCCCTTACTTTGTCAAATTCAATGCTTTTTAGATATATGTATTTGTATATATAGAAATAATATTTACTCGAAAACCATTGATAATTCCCAGCCTGTGTACTACAAACGTACCCCTATATGTTGTACCCAAGTGATTGACGTCGATCATATCTCATGTTTAAATACCAATATCCCTCGTCCAAACTTACATAGACGAATTCGAAATCAAATGATATTTGCTTAGCCCTAACAATAGCTCACTACCTGTACATAAAACTAAACACATCAATACTATAGTATACTTCAAAGGCGATCATACAAGGGAGGGAGGAGGACGAGGACGGGGACGACGAGGAGGACACGTGAGGGGGGGGGGGGGGGGGGACAACATTAGTACAGAAAACCTCAAAGGCGATCAATTAGGGTTTCTTCTCAAACAAAAATAAATAAATTCCGGCAAATACCGATGTATTACCAAATATTGAGACGAAAAAACATCGCCACCTATACATTAGCGATATACAGACTGCTTTATTTTATAGATATTAATTCTCTAGGGGCATGTGAAAGCAAGCGTGTTAATGAGTCGATTGGAATGACGAAGATAGAAATGAGAAAATATTTTACATGTTTTATGAAATTTAGGGAAATTCCTCTTCAAACTCGAATGTATCATAACAATTGGTAGAACGGACCTATATCTCTTTGCCTGTGCCGATATGAACACCAGCCAATCAATCACCTTAATGCGTCATTAAGATTTGGTGAACATCTAGGTCCCTAATTGGGAGAATATCAGCCATTGGATTGCCCTTGACTTTCCCGTAAGTCGTTCTTTCCTGGAATATAATGAGGGCGACAACACATCCCTGCCGCACTCCAGACTCCACTTGGAACCACACCAGCGTTTTCAAGAGTGACACTTCATTCTAATCGAAGTGTTCGATTGAATGAATTAGAAGTAATAATTTTTTTTACAAATTGCATCAAAATGTATTGACATCCAGCCAGTTTGACTTATGAGACAAAGTATAGTAAGAAGTTAATCATAGGTAAAACATAGATAAAACAAGATATTCTGCGATACATCAAATATAGTGAAGCAGTTAAAATAGGTTGAAGATCATCACTTGTCATAATAAAATAAAATTGTTCATAAGGGTCTAATTCTAAAACGGTTGGACACTACTTACTTGCCCCACTAAAAAAACTCTCCTAATATCAGAATAAAACTCACGATATTTAAAAAAAAATGACGCTCGTCTTCTACCGATCCTGACTGACATACAATACATTTCCTCTCATTTAACTCTAAAGAAGGGAGAGAATACCGGCCAGTCTTAATTTTCAATTTCAATTTACCGCAACGGAACTTGGCTAACGTTTGCCTATGCTTACCATTTACAACAGTATCGCAACTTATTTCCATTAATTTTTCCTAAATCATTCTATAGTTCTCGGTACCACTTATCTTCCTTCTCTGTTTTGAACAACCTGGAATAGGGCCAGACACTAAAAGTTTTTCATGCGTTTAACTCAGCTTCCTGTCCTGGTTTTAGACCCCTTGTGAAGCCGTTTTACTATATACAATATACCGTCCCAAGTAGGTCTCGAACCCACGACCCAGTGGTGGAGGACTAGTGATAGAAGAATGACAGACGCTTTAACCATGTATCCAACAGTCAACACACACAGGAGCGAAAGAAAGTATACAGTATAAGTTTAATCTCAACAGTATCTGACTTGGTCGATAATGATCCTCTAAAATTTAAAACTGTCCTTTTTCTTCTCTTAGCTATTATTGATTAGCTAAGAATCCATTGCAGATAGCGAAACGTGCATTATAAGTTTATACCCAGTATTGTATATACTCCATCAAGTTCTACACAAATACAATGTACAAGCCAGGACGCCACTTTTTTATACCGTGTATCCAAAACATATCATGACTTACAAAGCTCTAAATTGTGTGTAACATGGTCGATTGATATCACTCAGGATATTAAAATGTTGTTTTTTACGGTGTGATTAAATTCCTTAATCTGACACTCTCCGTCCGCTACTAAGCAGTGATCCCACTGCAAACCCACTAGTTAGAAACATTGAAATGGATTTACTGGGACCGTGTTGTTGATTTCATAATGTTTTGAATTACAGTAAGTAGTAATACACATGTCTCTTTCACACACAATAGGGTTTACACAATGGAGTTGTGTCCTGGATTTCCGTTTCAACACAAGATCGAGTAGAAAGAAACAGAAAAAGTACAGAAGTAAATAATTATATATGCAGTAAAATACTTACATATATAATTGATACATGTATTACCCCTATACCTAGCAGCACCCGTACTACAGACATGCATTTTCATCAGAGTTGGTAATCGAATTCACTTTCCGGCCAGAATCCTCTCTCAAGGGGCAAAGATAATTTCTAAAAATGAATTGACACCACCGAAACTTTTTACACACATACAGTTGTACAGGGCACGTCTTTTACGCCACGATTTCTCATCCCTAGCACAATTTCTCACCGATAGTGCTAAAACTACTGCGTTCGCAACACTATTTCTCACCCCTTGCGCGATCTCTCACACATGGTGTAGCTTGGCTGCACTTTACCTTAAACAACATTTAGATTAGATTTGTCTATATCGTCAGAGGACCTTAAACAACATTTAGATCAGATTTGTCTATATCCTCAGAGGGAGAAAGAGAGCTGGGATGAGAAAAGGTGCCGGGTGAAAAATCGTGAAATCGTTGAGGGATGAGAAACCGTGTCGTGAACACGGCAATGTTAGCACGTTTTCTCACCTAGTGAGAACCTGTGTTGTATACGGACCATCAGTAGTATGGAACACCTAAAATCCTGTACCAAAGCTGACGCGCAGTGTTTCCGACTTTTAAGGAGATGCCGGTCCTTAGGGAGTTCCTGCTGGTCAGGACTTAAGTCAACATGCATGATGGTCATCGGATGGACGACACACGCCATCTCACTGACGTCCAGTGGTCACAAACAACTGTTAGTGGAGTCGAGAGGAAACCGATATGTTATAAAACAGATCACCAGACGAACCAACAGACCTTGTCGGTGACAGTCAGTATTCTGTCGCATTATATACAAGTGTAGCGATATATATATATATATATACAATATCTACTTCAAATAAACAGCCTGAAGAAGCTCATTGACGAGATGAAAGTACTAAGACTGGTTGTTGAGAATTTTTTCTTTTTATATTATTTCTTCGTCCGTAAGGATCATTTTTCTGCTTTTATAATATATATATATATAGACAAGAGTTTCTACCTACGACTTCCCTAGAGCGTTCTCCTCTTTAGAGGTTAATCAGGGGAACTCCATGTGGTAAGGTTTGTTTTCCGTATCTTTCTTGCATTTTCCATGTGGTAATGACTAAAGTGGAGAAAGCGCCAGGGAAGTCGTTGAATCTTTTGTATTTTGTTTTTTATATTTAACTATCACAAGGACTTAAAAATGTTTTCCTGATTTTATATATATTTATATATATTTCTCCTGAATAATAATTACAAATGTAACTGTAATATATATAAATGCAGTCCGTACTCCGATTAGCTATGACAAATATGCACATCCCAATTTAATCACTCAACACAGGAGTAAACGTTACAAGAGACTATACTGGTGATCTGATGGTTAACTTTCGCTAGAGGATGAGTCCCGTATAATCATCAATTGCTCATATTTGAATTTCCCCTCGTAAACATGAGCTCAAACGTCAGCTAAAATAGTTGGTGTTGCTGTGATTGTACACATTTTCAGAACGGAAATGTTTCGGGTATTTCCGTCAATATCGGAGTCCAATCGAATCGGAAATTGACGGGAAATTAAAAATTATAGCAAATGGATGCCTATTCTCACAAACAGAGGTTCCAGTTTGCATGGAAAAAAACTTAATTGCATCCGATATCTGAATGAGTTTAAATGATTTTGGATTGTAATATTGTTGTTAAATTTAGTTAGATGGAGCTTATACTAATAGAATCACTTAATATTAGCTGAATTATGAGGCTATTACAAAAGCAAGGAAATGGCGGGAAATGCTAATATCGATCTCTCTGACTCGATACTCCAAGGGTTACGTTCACTTAAGATCTGTGCAGAGAGCGTTAGTGAGAGTAACCCATGAAATATCGAGGATGACTGTCATAATAAATATACACATTTGTCAGAGAGCGGAAACTTGTTTGAAAAGATATTTCCGGCCTAGAACTGCAAAAATACTAATTAAAAAACCCCACCTCAACTCTATGCA